ATGCCAAGCACATAATCTGATAGGCTGCCAGAGCTTCACTTGCTAAGAGCTTTGCCCTTGGAAGATCAGGGTCCTGTGAAATTCATGATGTCCACTCAGGGCAGTCTCTCGAGGTCATGACCACAATGAATCTAAGACTAATAGCTGAGAAAACTCTGTGTCATGTCTCTGTTGAAGGCTGCTCAAAGTCACATCGACTCCATGAGAACAGCTCCACACAGAGCACCGAGAGAAAAGAGAAATGTCTGAAGTTCTGACCACTTGGAGAAACTCAGGTCATAGCAAGTCGTTCTGGTTCATGGGGAGACGTCCAGGCCACAGGAGATGTTCAAGGTCACAAGAGAAGCTCTGGTCACAGTGAGATTAAGGGTCACATGAAGATGATCATGGTCACATGTAGCTATCCAGGGGTCATGTGGAGATTTCAAGGTCATGTTGACACTGGTCACGTTTTCAGTGAAACTTTCCCATGTGCTGTCTTGCTGCCCCCTTTGGCTCTTCCCAAGAGTCTGTGTCATGAGGCCATGGTCAGGACAGTGGCATCTGGCAGGCCCAGCCTCATCAGTGGGTATGTTTAGTGTCCTCAGCTCCAGGCAGTCAGGTGGGCATGTGTCTGAATTGTGGGGAGCAGGTCCAGCGGAGGGACTGATGCCCCCTGGGAGGTTTCAGGCAGTGGACAGCCACTCTTGCTGGGGCCCTGCAGAGTCCTGTCCCTCCCGTCATCTCCTGGAGAATGGATCTGGTGTTTCCAGACTGCATGTGACCATTGACCATGAGTTTGTATTTCTCACCTTGTGATGGATGTGTCTCTGAGGTCACCTCACACACCTTGCATTGCCCAAAGTTGTTCTCTACCTAGGGACCTGCTCCTGCGGTCTGTCACTGTCCCTAGCATCCTGCTGTGACCAGTTCCCCCTTCACAGGTGCCTGCAGCCCCCTTCTGTCCCTTCAGCTTGTCCCCTGCCTTTCCTAGGTGCTCCTGTCCATGGACAGCTTCCTGTGGCCGCTGTGAGAGGCCGTGTGTGTGTGTTTCTGGCCAGTGCTATGGGGCACAGTCACGTCTGGGGGTGTCTGTGGCTAATTTAGGTGGAGTCGGAAGAATTAGTCCCGGGTTCTGCTCCCCAGGGCTGAACCAGCTGGGGTGTTCTCTGAGGATGCAGTGCCAAGGAGCAGATCCTTCACACAGCATCGCACCTTCTCCCCTGGGCTGAGGCTGCGATCTTCCCTCTGTGAGCGCTCTGTGGGCATCTGTGACAGATGTGCATGGTCCTGCGTGACTTGTGAGAGGTGCCTCTGTCTCCCGTCTCCCCAGACTATGGGATATAAGGGTAGAGACAATGAGAGACTGGGGACCAGCCTTCAAGCCCTGCTCTGGCTTTGGGTCTGAGTCGTGTGGCACGCAGTGTGTGACTCTTTTTCAGCTCAGCCATGTCTCATTTTCATCTGTCAAAGGGCAGAGAATCAAGGGCCGTGGGAACTCAGGCCTCTGGCAGTTCCCATTTTCATGCCCCTTTAGGGCTGAATCCACACCCTGTTTTGTTTGTTCAATCCTTCTAGAACATTCCCTCTGTGGGAACAG